AACCCTTTTATATTTCAATACACGCAACATACAAAATTTAATTTTTATTAATTCTTGATTTTTTATTTCAACAAAATATTTTGTGTGTGCCACATAATCTATTATTTATTTTAATCGAAATATCATACTCAGCGCGCAAATAATTTCAATATGCGTTGGCAGATTGCATGTTTGACATACTTGCTATATAAGATGAACAAAGAAAGAGAGAGCATAGAGTGCATTTCACTAGCAGTTTAATGCCTATATAGCGGATCAACCGAAAGGTGTAACCTTTTCCATATGGAACGCCATTGCAGCGTCCGATTGCAACGGTCCAAACACGAGAAAGATATTCCACGATGATTGGAGCCACCACCATCAACAACCATCGAGTTCTGTTACAAAATCTTATCGTTACCGCGAAGATGCAATGTAGTTGATCGTGTAATTTACGCCGAAGAATTTGTGTTATAACGGGTATCGAAATTGCGGCCATGCATTTTATTCACGCACATAGACGATAAAGTATGTATCACATATGTATGTATGTATACATTCAGATTTTTATTTTATTTTATCACAAAATTTGAATTTGTTAAGTGCATAATTAGTAAAGCATGATAATACTGGTATAAGTAATACTATATTGTTTTTTTGTTATGTAATTTTGTTTGCAGATTCAACAAAACAAATACGAGTATCTTTTTGGGCACACATATTTTTTTCATTTCTTTTAAACGTGTATTCTATTTTATCTAGTATAATAAAATCTTGTCTTTTAATTTATCTCTCTATGTAAAAATTAGATAATATATAAAAATTAGTATATTGTACATTATCTTACCCGTAGGTGGCCTTTCTTTGGGATAACATATCCTGAAGAGACCCTGAGTTCTCGTATAATAATAATACTTTGCATTCATTTGATCTATCAGATGGCTTTGTTCAGCGTGCTTGCTTGTATATTGCTGAAAAGAAAAAACATGAAAAATCATTTATCAAAATTAATCTCTTTAGATAAGCATATAAATAATATATATCATAGAATGATTTTTCAATAGAAGAATTTACGAAGATAATCGATGGCACTGCATAACGTGCACTTAACAAATTTCTAAATACATTAGATAAACAAAATATTCTTCAATTACGCCTACAATCATCGTTGTGTTCAATGGTCAATCGAGTACAAGGCAATCTACGAGCATTGTACTATAGTAAAGGTCAGATTATTTCGATATTTTCAATGATAATGAATATAACAAAGACTATATATGACTAGAGAAAAGATTCCATGACAACCCACGATTTTTCCTGGATTACTGACTGGTAACGTGACGACACATGATGCGAGACCATCCGATGTAAGATCTTTTTAACCTTGAGAGAGTAACACCGATGCTATGTGCAACATTCCTTTCGTTTAATTCATCATCTCCATAAAGATTTCTTCGAGTTAATTGTTAATAAGTATTGACATGTAAAACATACTCTTGTATATATTACTGTATGAGCTCGTTCTTGGATATTCATACAAAATTTCTATCAAAATGGTCAACGTAATAATAGTAATCTAACTTATTTAGTATTTTCTCTCGTCCAAAATTATAATTTTTGATGATAAAGTTTCATAGGGAACTTGGACATGAAAAGAAGTAGAACTTAATTTAATGAAGTTGGACGTTTCGTCCCTTTATTGGGACTTCTTCAGCAACTTAATCATTAAAGCTAATCTAACGTATAATAGTAATCTAACGTTTACCCTGATACTATCTCGAACGTATTTATTTTAATCCAAAATTGAATTATTTAGAATTTATTAAAAATAATCGAACCCAACTGGCAAATAAAAAAAAAAAAAAAAAAAACCGGAGGATCCAAGGGAAGACCTACGTTCACTTAATTCAGCTTTCACGTTGTCGTCGTTGTATTCGCCATTATTCCGACACAGAAGCCATGGCGTCGATCCCCGGCAATTTGATAGAAAGGAAAGCGTGATTCTACGAGAATGTCATCCGAGTAAGAGAAAGAGAGAGAAAGAGAGAGAAAGAGAGGAAGAGAGAACGTACGGCTTCTCGTGAGAACGTAAGCTATTCTTTCTGTAAATAGCAATCGTCATAGAATAAATAGTTTGTACTTATACGAGATTGCAGAAATACGAAAATGTGTAATAAGACACTTCTGAAGATAAGTAAGAGACAAACTTGATACACTTGAAAACATATGTTTCTATTTTATGTAATAAAGAAATCATACACACGTAAAATACGTGCACGATTAACGATCTAAAAGAAAGGATATGAATATTCGATTTGAACGCGAAGTCGTCCTTGTCCTAATATCGGTTTACTTTTCTTACGTTTCGTGAACCATGAAAAAATGGTAATTATATTTTATAGATATTCATTTAAATAATTTTTTTCTCATGTTTTCTTATTTATCGAATTTTTTTTTTAACTAATAATCGTATTTAATTATATTATTCGGACGCGTATTTTTTTTTAGTAATAAGTAGATGTTTTCTTTTATCGATTGGTATAAAATTTATAATATAAAAACAACAAAAATGTGTAAATATTTTAGACAACGCAAGGAATCACCTGTATTCAGTAATCATCTTTATCGATTTCGCTCAACGCGATATTCTGTGACGTTTTAACGATCGATTGGTCGAGCTAAACCAAAAAATCCTCGTGTTAAAACTTAGCGATACCTTTCACCGCAAAACTCGTTTCTAAATAACGCATTTGGCTTCTGAAATACATATATATATATGTATATATACATATCTAAGCGTCACGCTCGGTAACTTTCATTAGAATTTTTTTAAACAATAAATGCGAACCGATTCAATGCCGTTTCCTAGTCTATTTCGTAAAATTCTTAAATACGACACGCGTATCATTAAATAGATAATCGTTCGAAATTGCGTTTGAAATTACCCGCCAGAAGAGTATACGTGTCACGTGCGAGTATACGTACGAACTCGGCCATCTTGGATCGTTCGTAGGAACGCATGAAAAAGATTAAAAATAAATAAATACTGTCGTTGTAAATTAAATATAAAAAAAAAAACATTAATAATTATCTAATATTTGAGAGAGAGAGAGAAAAGAAACAAATGTTATTTGATGTCAGTTAATCGATATTCGCTAAAAATGATATATAATTGACAATGTGGAGGAAATTGAAAGATACGTAGGACGATTTGTAAAACTTTAAAAGATGTTCAAATATGAGTTGGCTTTGTGCGTTGTTGCGTTTCTATCGTAAAAGCGTCCATGGAATTGCTACCTCGCCTTACTCGCAAGTATGCACACTGGCATTGCCGTGTACACGCATATGTCGTAATCACCTATTCGTTAGAAGGAGACGAAGAGCAGGTAACATAACTGTACGATGCGGAGCTCAAATGCGACCCTCCGATTGTCGAGAAAATTGACGCCGACGTTTCTTATATTTAAAAGATTCTCTTTAGAATTGAAAGAGGGACAACACTAGGAAATACACACACACAAAATAAGACATGTTTAATTATATTTGCTTTAATAATAATATGCTTTAGAGACATGACGTGTAAATGATGATATTTATACAAAGTAACACGTCCCAATCGATTTATTTTTTAAAATTAGTCATCGGAGAACAATGCTCGTGTCTATGAATATTTTTTGATGCCGAGATACTATATGGTGTAATTATAAAGTATTCCAAAAATTCGCTTTTTCGATATTCTGAACTATAACTTGAGATTTATATTTTCAAATGAGAAACAAGATATTGCAATTCTATTAATCAAACTAATATCAATTAGTTGTTTTGTTATTCTTCTCTCGGTAAAACGACTTGTAGAACACCCTGTATATATGGAATAGTTTTTTGTCCACGGAAATAGAAAATACAATGTAAACTAATAACAACAATCGTAATATAACGTAACGATTTGAAACGATCATTGTTCGTATTATTTCTTTCACATTGTGAAATGGATCCGCGAAACGGATACGATAAGGAAAAGATCTAGAGTTTCGTAGATAATTTTCTGTAAATGGATTAGTTTCGACGAACTAACACACAGTAGACGGTTGCATTGCATCGAACATTAAACGCAAAACTTGTTGAGTCAACGCGCTTGAGAATGGGTGCGGCTCGGAATGTCGATCGTTCTGAAGGTAACGAATGAAGAGGACGAGAGGAAAAGACAGGTGGCCCGAAAAAAAAAAGAAAAATATTTTTGAAGAAGAATGAAGACTCCTTTGACCGAGTAAAGAAGAATACGATTTGAAGTGGAACCTATATATGACTTACGACAATGAATCCGACGTCTTATTTTCTCTCGCCAATGATCTAAAACATTTCATACTAAACCTAATGACAGTTCATCTATTGTTAAATGACAACAAATTGTCTAATGTTCTTCGTATTTTTAACATTAAACGGATTTTAATATACATATGTTTAGTTGCAATCGGTTTGTTGACAAATTATATTCTTACAGTAGTAACAAGTTCGTAATTACATTAGTGAGCAAAAAAATTACAGGATAGGGATAAAAAAGGAATAAAAAAAAAAAAAAAAAGGGTGAACGAACAGTGCCATGGTTACACCGTAATTAGACATAGTTTATCTAGTTTTTAAGTCTCTTGCTTTGCGTTAAAGGCTTTACACACTTGTGAGACTGCACACGACTGTCGTGAGAAATTCTTCCGTTCGCGAAGCTATAGGCCAACTCGAGGGTGAACTTGACCTTCGACCCGAACGTTCACCTGCGACAAGGACGACTACGGATGTCGAGGAGATCCATCTTCCGGCGTATTTTTCTTTTTAATTTCAAGATGCGACGAGACACGTATCCTAAGAATTATTTCGATTATCAGATTTTAATTTGTACGAAAGATCAGAAGCAAGGTAGAGAAATTTTGTAGATTTTCAATATCCCAAGGGAGATGATGATGGTGATGATGAATGCGATCAAAAGGAATTATAATCAAGCGCAATTAACTTTCACGTTTTCGCCGCTTCACGGTAAATATCTTCGTTATGAGGACTCGTAGTTAATCGTCCACAATAATGCGGTTTCGATACGAATCAGCGTTAAACGAAGCATAAAGTTGAAAAAGGTAAAGGAAAAATCGAACGTTTCTCGATCTATGGGGGACGGGATAAAGAAAAGAAGAGAAAATAATAAAAAAAAGGTAATAATCAAAAAACAAAAAAAGAAGAAGAAGAAGAAGAAGAAGAAAAAACATTATTTCCTCTAGGTATACGAAGCGTATAGACATCGCTCTGGAAAATAGAAAGTAAGTCGACGTGTACGTGGCATTTCACGAATTCCCGCTACTTTGTAAAATGCGGAAGATAACCTATAAAATTGATAAAAGGAGAGAGAGTAGAATATTTTTTTACGATTTACGTTACTTTTACGACTTTATATCGCATACTACTTGTTTAGATAACTATAATTAAGAAAGAAAAAAAAATAAGAACCTTTTCTTTTTTTTTTTTGAAAAGAAGAATCAACGAAAAGTACATTTGCATAATTAGAGAAATCTAGTTCGTAGAATATTTCGATACGTGTTAGTTGAATCATGGGAAAGTTCGACCAGGAAGAAGACAAAAATTAATATTCATTAGAAAGAAAATGACGAGAAACACATGCACAAAATAAAAGAACACTATAGTCGTTTCAATTTTTAAGAAATATTTAACAAGATGTTCGTGTGGAACGTTTCTTTCGATAAAATACATTTTTAAAAAATTTGTTCATGACTGCGCATACATTCTTTTTAAATTCCTTGAAAGTATCCCTGGAAAGCTATTCTTCCACCTGTGTCATTCGTTCTACATCAACATTGATGACCATTTTTCTCTCTTTATTACTTAACACATCCACCTGTTCAATCTCCATTATTCAGCGTTAAACGAAAATAAAACGGAACACGTAAAATAAAAATATTTATGCATCCTGCAACGATCTTTGTCTTTCTCTACCTCCTTTTATTGAAGATCAGAAGAAGAATCCTTCTCTATCTAATTCTTTCACTTCGTCGGAAGAACGAAAGAACGCTATGCACCATGACATTCCGGACAGCAACGTAGCCGACGGGGATCGTTCCGTTCGTAAAAGGATATTGAATTTCTCTAAATCAAATCCGATCTCCTACGAACCTGAATTTGGGCACGCTTGACCTCGGTGTAAAGCCAATTATCCGTGGAGAAGGCAATAGCTAGGAGGGCAGTGGCAATGATACCGGTTATGGTCGCGAGGGACAGCGTTACTGCAGAACAAGGCATCCTGATGTCTTCTTTATCTTCTTCCTTCTTTGGAATATATATATATATGTATATATAAATATCCAAAAATATGAATATTATTTTCCAAGAGAGCACTTCTTCACCCCCGTATACCGTTAGGATGCTACGGCGGTGAGGACGAATAAGACGAAGAATATAAAGATAAAGAAAACGGCCTTTGGTTCATCCGTGAATCCTATCTGTGATGTTGGCACGAGAGAAAAAGAGATAGAATGAGTTCACCAATCCGGTCCACGAACCAACCAACTGTGTTCCTCTTTCTCTTCCTCTCTTTCTCACGCGCGCGGAGAAAAGAAAAAAAGAGTTGAGGTAAGAAAATAATATTTTCCTAAGGGAAAATAAAACGGTACACCACTTCTAGATCGAAAGATCGCGCGCGTCGTTCGTGGTTCGTTGATCTAGATCGATTTGAAATTAGTTATGTTGTTCGTTGCTGTTAATCGAACGCGAACCTTCGCGGTACGCACTACCACTGCTCTCTCCTACAACACGAGACTAACGGCCCGATCCTCACCTCGGAGGAAAGCTTGGACCCAAGGAGAGAGAGAAGAAAAGAGAAGGAGCAAAAGAATGAAAGAGAGAGAGAAGGAGAGTAATGGAATCCCCCCCCCCCACTTAAACGCGAACATAGCTTCAACAGGTAGATATGTTACCTATCTCTTTTCATTGCAACAGTGGTGCTCAAGACACTTTCAAGATAAACCAAACTAATTTGCGGGCATAAGACCCATTCGATAGAATTGAATCTTTATTCTTATTGGTGGCGTAACGACCAATAGAGAGAGAGTTGTTTACTACAAATAAATATACGCGGGGTAAGTTCGATTCTGTAATTCCTCTTAATTATTCGATGATATAGAACGTTTTATAAAATATTACTTATCTTTAAGGATTTGAAAAGAAATATTTATTACATTTGATAATTTAGTTTAATTAAATTCTGCTTGGGTTCATATTAAAAATATTTCAATTATATTTTATTATGGATGGATCATACGATGTACCCTGAAAAGGAGATCCTTCTACATTCCACGCTTTCTTCATAATTTCCTCTAATTTCTGTGAACAGATATTTATGTATTAACTTTGATATCGTACTGTATATAAGCATTGTGTTTTTTTTCTTCTATAAATAAAATTACCAATTGATCCGACGTAGGTTTGCCAAGAAGTTTCTGCTGATGATTCCACATTACTTCTTCTACTTTCATTTGTTCCATCAAACCCATTTCATCTAAATTTCTTGAACAGTCTATTTTATTCAGCTCTATCTTAGGTTCTTCCGTAATTAGGGCATCCCACCATCGTTCGGATATTTTCTCAAGATGTATCTATAAACAGAAGATAAGCACACAATGCTTAGCTACTTAGACATTTAGATACTTCCTATCCATATTCCAACATATAGTATCCAGTGGCTTTCAACTTGTTTCAACGCACACTGATATATCCAGATACTAAACTCCATATGGACTCATCTTTCTTTGTTTTAAATATTAGTTCACCCTCAAAGATAGTAGTCCAATCTAGTTTATCGATAACTTTGTTGCATGTTTCATATCCTTGCAGTGCTTCAATTTTTATCCTTTGAGTTTCTATAGTAACTCGAAGATCCTTAGGTTTCAAAGTTATCTTTGGAAGCTTTATGAGTACATCTACATCAGTGATTGTCTGAGACCAAATATAAGTGTCTCTTATTGCTCCATTATAGCTGTCTGATGGTTGTAGAGGTCTTACGCTATTGTTTTTATTTTGTACTTTATTTTCGATATCCTTAGATGTTCCAACCTCTACTTCTTGGGAAACGTATGGTACCATTTCTGCTTGTACTATAATCATTGCATTCTCTTGCAATGAACTACATAATTTGTTTTTTTCATTCGAATCTTCTAATGACATTGATATATGTTCAGTTCAAACTATTACAATTTCTAATAAATAATCAAAGAAAATCTTTTTTCTTTGACTTTAATTGATATAAGATAATATGATAAATAAATTTATTGTAAAATATCTATTATGTCCTGTAAACAAAATAAGAACATGTTACAAACAAGTATTTAAAAAATCAAATATTTCGTAATCATAACAAATAATATGTTTATAATAATAATATTGTTGAAATTTCATTTTAATATAAAGATTTACAGTACTATAAAGACTTACCACTTTAACAAGGAAAATACACAACTCATTTAAATAACAAATAATGTATTGTTTTTAAAATAAAACTTCAAAAATTCCCACATTGTGTTACACTCCTCGCCGTTTACAACTTTACATCGTACATAGAGATCGGAAGTGAAGTTAGTAACTTATTGTAAAAGGTTAAAATAAATGGTAAAAATGTACATGGAAAAATTTGTATTCCTTTTTTTTGTTTTTATGGATATAAATGAAATTATTATAACTATTAAAATATTTTAACATACTTGTGTGTGTGTATTTATAAAATTAAATCAGTATACAAGTAACCAAAATCAATGCTTTTTAAAGAACCAATCGATGAAAAACGCTAACTAGTGGCATAAGGGTTGTACTACTTTGATTTTACATATTTATGACGTCACAAAGCCAATTGTCTTTTCTTTTCTTCACACATTTTTTAATCTTTTTATTAATATATAATAATATTAAACGTTTATATAGATATATATTTTTTATATGAATAATTAT